TCGTGCCTTTCCACAGAAGATTTACATTTTTGATATTGTTGAGATAGAAAGCAAGCCAGCGAAATTACATCTTAACAGAGCAGAGGGCAAAAGCTGAAGTGCGTCGTTATGAAAGATGGAAGCACGCGAAGAGAAAAGTTTTGGTTTACAATTCGGTGATTGGTCGTCAAGAGACATCTGGTATTAACGGTTACGTAAGATCGCATGATTAATTTGAATGACGCAATGCAGATAAGTTATTACGATTTTAGAATAGAGAGGAAGAATTAATGTTTATAGTTATATTATAATTCTGATTCATACATTTTTATCTTACATATTTTCAAAAAAAAAAAAAATATCACGCGTAGTGTTTACAGATTGAAAGTAATCTCTCGATAAATTGAGAAATTTGAATGCCTAGTGAAAAGGAAATCATCAGTGAATTACCGTTTTGGAATTCAAGCATTACAGCGGAGTTCAAGGTCGATCTGAGTTAGTGTTTGCAAGTATGTGCGACAGAAAATTATTTGCACTTTCCACTTTTTCAACAGCTCAAAAATTGTTACATTCGTGTGAATCTAACTCAGGAACTAAAATCATTTAATATGCTGCGAATTCTATAGTTTTCATTTCAACTTTTAGTTAAAATTTCTGCAATTTGTTTGCTTTTTGAGAAAATGTGAAATTCTTGTTCATTAATTTTTATAATTTTTCATAATTATGTGTGAGGCAAAATTAAGTAACGCTAATTTTAAGCTATTTAAATTACTCATAGGGAAGGATATTAAGATAAGTTTTTATGTTTTTGAAATTTTGTTGAGAATTTTGAATACGAATTTTATAATTATTCTAAAAATAAGTGAAATTAATACAGATACGTAATATAAAATTATGGTAAATGCAAGTTAAATTTATGGGTGATTGTATGTTAAGTATAGTGTATGTCGAGGGTGTACTGGTTCCTTTAACAGAGGCCTGTAATTACCTCTGTACAGTTGTTCCTTTTACCCTCTTCAAGTAAGATAATGTTGGAGGCTCTCATTTTATGAGTGTTTGTAATTTTTTTGTATTATTATTATATTTTTTTTTATTATGGAATGTATTAGTGCAGTTCTCAAAGGCCAGTTACCTTAATGCAAGGAACGGAGGTCTTTTCATGTAACTGTCTAGGCACCCTGGGCCACCAGTGCATAGAAAACACTGGTTAGCTCAAGAGGACAGCCCTACTGATGGATATGGTTTGTTTAGAAGTATTGCGAGGCCTCCCAGTTGGTAAAATACAGGAATTGTAAATGAAAGATGATAACGGTGAAACCATAAATTCTGAAAATCTGATGTTAAATTATAACTTATCAGTATAGAAATAAGTATCATAAATATTTATGTGCATTACATTTAATTATAAGTAAAGGTTATGTAAAAGTATATTTTGTGATATTCTATGTTAAGAACCTTCGCTGAAGAATTGTGATTATGTGAAACTCTCAAAACAAAAAGACAATTTGGACTGAAATGCTGAAAAATTCAATAGGACTCTAAAAATTAAAAATTTATTTTAAAAAAAAATTGATATTTATAAATTATACTTTTAGAATCAAAATTTTATGATTTTTTCTTTTTTATTTGCTAGTGCTTTAACTCTTTCTCTTTAAAAAAGGCTTCTCTGTCGCTACGCCCTTTTTCTTTTTGAAGGGGGGAATATGTAAGATAAAAATGTATGAATCAGAATTATAATATAACTATAAACATTAATTCTTCCTCTCTATTCTAAAATCGTAATAACTTATCTGCATTGCGTCTTCATTCAATTAATCATGCGATCTTACGTAACCGTTAATACCAGATGTCTCTTGACGACCAATCACCGAATTGTAAAACCAAAACTTTTCTCTTCGCGTGCTTCCATCTTTCATAACGACGCCACTTCAGCTTTTGCCCTCTGCTCTGTTAAGATGTAATTTCGCTGGCTTGCTTTCTATCTCAACAATATCAAAAATGTAAATCTTCTGTGGAAAGGCACGACTAGAGTGCCAAGTGATTGTGGCCACAAATATCAATTGGAAATAAAAATGGAATTAAAACTGCTTCGACTGCCAAGTTCTTTAGATATTACCAAGTTAGCATTACTAGCATACTGCGCAATCAAAATCTTCTTCAATATGGGTCTAATCAAGCATCTACAGTGTTCGGTCTTTTCCTTTTCCTTGTGCTTTTATTATGACATATATATATATATATAGTAGGTTAAAATATCATTTATGTAGAAAACAGAGATTATCTCCAGTATGATAGAAAATTTTGTGATATTTTTATGGCATGAAGAGGAAAAAATGACATGAAGCTGAACATAAGAAGCTTGTTTATATACGAAAGCTGAGGAAAAAAAGCATTTCAAAAGTATTTTAAAGCTTTAAAATTTTCCATCATGATGGCTTTTGTTTTAGAAATTTTGTACTATGCATTTGTATTAAATCCATATTACATGTAACTGATTGAAATGCTATCCGTCCATCAGTGATATGTCTGAAATAATCATTTAAATACAATCGTAAAAAATTTGTTAAAAACAAGAAAACTTTTCAGTATGGCATGCAACAAAATACCATTCTGTAATTACTATTAGCAAACAGCAATCCTTTTTAATAAAATAATAGTAATTGTTATTAATGAGTTACGTTACAAATGTTGAATGTATAGTGGTATGCGAGAGCCACCTTGAGATGAATTTCGCAAAACCCACTGGAAACTGGCAACAGGAATCTTGTTCTGTCTGACAGGCCTTGAGTAAAAGTTGGCCTTGGTCATATAAAATGGAATTAAAACATTTTATAATATATATTATTTACTCTATTTTGAAAGTCGCGATGTGCAATTTTCAATATAATATGTTGTATTAATGTTTTTCGTATAAAATGTAACTTTTCTCAATATCTGTTAAAAATGTAAAAATTTTCATTTCAGTTTTCATTAATTTTATTATTTTTTCTCTTTTATTCCTTCTCTTTTTTGTTTTTGGTTTAGCTAAATGGTAATGCGAAAACTTTTGGTGCCCATTTTCCTGAATGCATTTATAAAGTTCTAGCCTAAAAAGGCAATTTTCATTGGAAGAGACTGGTAAAACGGGTATTAAGTAGAACGGTCACTCTATTTCTGTTAGTCCCAGCAGCGACCGAGTGGTACAGTGGATTTTTTAAACTAATTTGAACACTGGTAGTTCGGTCCGAATTTCGAATCCTGCGAACGGACAGGCTGCATGGGTGTTTTCGTGGTTTTCCCCATGTGTGACATGTATACGAGCCAGTTTTCCTTAAAAAAGGTCCTAGACGAAGGTATGCCTTCCCTTAGGCAGGTAGCTCTGTGGCTTACCCGTAATTACATAAACAAAACCTACTTCTGTTAGGTGGCTGCAGGCCACGAGGTGCGAATTCTTGTGTTGGAACCCTATCCCAGATAAATAAATATGTGATGCTTAACCTGTAAATAGCATTCTAAAAGTGTATATAGCATTTCAGAAAAAAAAAAAGTAGTTCCTGTGTGGCGAGGAGTAGGGCGAATCACTCTACTTCCTGACAGGGAAATAAAATTTCATTAGTGGAAGGACTTTATACAGTAATGAATGTAGTATGTGTTGAGCAAAGTAGTAATGAAATATGAAAGTATTAGAAATTTGAAAGCAATGGAAGAGCGAGACTCATTGTTGGCTTAATGTCTTGTCGGCTAACTGCCCGTGTCGGCCAAATGTCATGTCGGCTAAGTGTTCAGCTAAGTGCCCTGTTGGGTAAGTGTCCATGTTGGCTAAGTGTGTATGTCGGCTAAATGTTTTGTCAGCTAACTGGTGTCGGTTAAGTGTCCCTTCGGCTAAGTGTCCGCGACCGGTTAGGAAGTACATTGCTTGTTTTGACAATAGAATGGCTGAATGTGGTAAGATTAATTTGAAGTTTCTGTACAATTTTGAATGAAAGAGGAAAAGTGCATTAAAATCGACAGGTGTGTAAATGAAGGGTAACTTAGTAGCCATTATAATGTCCTGTTTGTAGGAAGGAAATGTTTATGGTTGAATGTAGGAGAATATCGGCACTACGGAGGATATTTTTGACTCTTATTTTTGTGAATTTATGTGGCGATGCCGATATATGGATTTTAGTTCAGGTAATTTTAGGAAGGTTTTGGGTGCTGTTAAGGAATTTTGTGTGCCGCAGACTAAAGGACAAATTTCTAAATAATGTAAGTGGATATTTGTTTTGTGTAGTGCTTAGATGCATAAGATGAATTTCATTTTTATGTTATTTTATTGGTTGATTTAAAATTCAGTTTATTGAGATTATGTATTTTTTGTTTGGCTGTGTGAATTGGGTGCTTCTTTGACTTTTTAAGTGAAAATAGTTTGATGTGTACATGATAAAATCAAGGGAGTGTGCAGTGCCAAGTTTGTGCAATTCTCTGATGCTTTTCTAAGTGAAAATAAGTTGATGTGTACATGGATACCGAGTTTGTGCAATCTTTGACTTGTTACTTTGTCTTTGTGAAGCGGCAATTTTTGGAGCAAAAATCGCTACTACACGAAGCCAAAATAACAAGTCAAAGAATTGTACAAACTCGGTATCCATGTACCACCAAAAATCACCGAAGGGCACCCATAAATATATTTTTACCAACTTGGGTACAAATCCCAGCAAATTTAGTGACCACATAAATGTTTTCATGGTTATGCAGTAAGTTATTTTTTAAAACTTTGGAATGTTCATAATTAAAATAAAATTTTGATATGAACATTTTCAGACTTCAAGGTATTTATTGCAGTGATGTATGTATGTATGTAGAAATGTTTTCATGTTCTCTTCGTTTACATTACATATTACATAAAATTTTAATTAATTTTTTGTCTGGCATATGTCAGAATTTTTCTCTTCAATAAACAGCAGGCTTTAACATATACAAGAGAATTAGAAACCTGCATAAACACTGAATTGCTTCTCAATTAAAATTACCTGGTTAATAACAAATTCCTATTTTTTCAGTCTTGATAGTGGCTTACACATGATGAAATATTTGACAGATTATATTGGAGTACCCGACTTCAGTATCCTTCTGCTTGGCTACTGGTGGACTTCCACTAAGAAGGAAAAAAAGACTAAGAAGGAACTATCTCTTCCAAAGCATAACCAATTTTCTTTGCAAAGATATATGTATCAAACCTATGCTTCCAATGAAAGAAACATATTTTTGTCATCAGCTTAATTTGTCTGTTGTAAAACTTTCCAAAATGTAAGAAGTATATCCTTGAGTTTACTGGCTTCAGTACAGAAAGAATGAAATAAAATGAGAGACTGCAAAATTTTGTTAATGGTGTTTGCTCTGAAAAAACAAAAACTGTTGTATTTTGTAAAAATAACAAATTTTATTTTACCAGTAGCCAATAGCAACATTTTCATATGCATATTTCTATAGAAAACTGTAACATCTGTTGTTTTATAATAAAACGTCTCTAAAAGAAATGTACCCAGTTATTTCAGTAAAAAAAATTAACAGTATTGCATACTTTAAAGTACTTCACAGTATTGACAATAATTTCCTTGAAAATATGAACTTTCTTAAAACAAGTAAAGACAATAAATATGCTTTAACCTTAGCCATGCATATTTCATTCTGTAGAAAATTATTCAGAAAATTTGGCCCTAGTAAAAAAGATCATTTAACAATCTCATTCTTCTGAACGAATTTAGAATAGCTTCTAGGATTGCTGCAATGTTCTCAAATAGCACTTCTTACACTCTTATGACCCATTTTCGCTCCGCCAGGTATTAAATATAAAATAATGATATAAAAATTAATGCATTTTCATTAATTGTTTACTTCTTTGCAAAACAATATGCAAAAAGAAGTAATTTTAGGATTTGCTTCAAATATACAAAAATGTATGAAAGAAAATCATGTCTTAGCAAGATCGTTATGCTTGTCATTTGCTGCATTTCAAATGAAGTCTTGGTGCTGTATTTGATACTGCTGGACATAAAGCGTGTACAACGTTTTTCAGTATTTAATAATATCTGCGTTTAATATGCATTAAAGCTGAAAAATCTTTTTTGCATAAGTATGTGGTACTGATTTGCAGAAAATATTTGGAAATTGTAAAAATTGAGTTCTAGCTGTAATCCAGAATACCGCCACGTTTTTTTTTTTTTTTTTTTTTTTTTTTTTTTTTTTTTTTTTTTTTTTGCGGAAACTCAAGTTTTAAATTCTAATTACTAAGCAACTCAATAATTTCCTTTTGGTATTTTTATATTGGAAATGTTTAATCTTTTTAATGTCAGTCACAGTATTCTTTTTTAATACAAAGTATCAGTTTGAAATAAAAATTTCATAAAAACTATTTGCAAAACTCCGTTCCTATTGTTTTTAAGCAGCCTGCAATAGTTTTTGCAATTACTTTTTTTTCAGTAATAAAAGTGTCAACAGTTGAAAACAGTTTGAATGAATCATTTTCCATTCTGTTTTTCCAAATATTGATCAATTTAATAAAACCTTGAATTTTATCATCCGAAGTAAATACATATGGCTAACGTTTCCTTAAAGACTCAAGTTTAAATTATATATTATCTCAAAATTATCTGACAAAATGCATAACTTTTATAGTGATAATTCATTTTTAAAACCAGAGGAAGATCAAATTATTATTACAATAAGTTTATGTTATACTTGGATCTCTTTACATAGATTTGAAAATAAACAGTTATTAGGACCACTGCTTAATGAAGTTGATAATTTTGTGCCTCTTAATAGATCAGGTAATGTGTAAAAATTGCATGTTCATTAACAGCAGCATTAACATGCAATTAAAAACCAGTGATTTTGCCTTTTATCACTTTTGCCTAGTTTGTGCATTATTCAGAAAACTTTTTCAATCCTAAACCTTTAATTTAAAAAAAAAATCATGAACTTTGTTATATATGTCTACTCCATTTGTGTGTTCTTCGAAAGAACTAGAAAATAACAATTCTTCATTGATATGTTCTTTACAAATGTATCTCACATATACTATCAGCTGAACTGTTTTTGAAGTATCAGATGTTTCTTCCAGATTAATTGCAAATTTGGGCTTTCTTTTAGTAATAAGTTGCATGAATTGATTTTTGATAGTTTTAGGAATTTTGTATGTGATGGAGTCATTTGACAAAGGAATCATAAAAATTTCTTCACATTTAAATTTCTCACAAAAATTTCTTCACAAAATTAAAATATTTACCATTTTACTACAGCAAGTAGTTCAAGCTTTTCTCCAATGGAGGTTCAAGGTTCCTCATTAGTGGCGAGTGGTTTAAACCTCTGAATATTTGTAGGTCAACCTGGTTTAGGTTTGATCCCAAGGTACCGATCTTGTTGCATGTTTATTTTTTGGGGTTTCTGCCCCGTGTAACATGAAAACAAGCCATTTTCTCTCAGAAGGGCCTTAACTAAAGTATCTTCTGTCTTAGGAAGGTAGACCTCTCAGAAGCTATATTCAAAATAACCTTGCCTCCAATGGTCTATGGCATATTATTTTTAGCAAACAGATATAAGACATTCTTTGATGTGAGTAATTTTGTTTTTCTTTGCTAACAGTCAATGTTTTTAAAGTATTGTTTCTTTGTTTGAAGATTTTAACAGTTGTTTGAAATATGCTTTTGTTTATTCAGCTGTGAATGATGCTTGGATTCAAGGTGCCTTTTCAATTTTGATGATTTCATACCGTCCACTTTGGCATGCCTGTGTGGCACAAAATGCAACATACTGTATGTGTGTAGCAGATTTTTTTCTGGAATGACTTGCTAAAGCTATAATGTGATATCACTGTTATTATGCTCTAAGGTGATATTTTTCAATATGTAACAATTTACTGCTCATCTTATACGTTATACAGTATTACACTTTTATAGTTATACAGCTGAGAATATGTAATATATTGAAAGGATTGCAATTGTTTATTTAAATTCATGTATTTGAAATAAATATTCACAATCTCGAGGTTTTGCTTAGTGGTCCTAATGTAGGGTTAGGATCCAAAGTTTAAGAAGAACTGCCCTCAGAAAATCTAAATTGTGGGTGGTATTATCAGCGCCGGATCTTTGATTTTTCTGATGTGGGCCAAAAGCTAAAACTGCCGCCCTCACCCATCATCCTTTAAGTTTCTCTAACAAGTTTTAATTTCTTTAATAAATACAGAAATAGGTGGGGTTTGAGGTAAAAAGCTAAGCTCCATTTTATACTAAATTCTTAACGTGCCACTTTTTCTTTTTTCCTATAAAGGAAAAAAACGTAACAAAGTTACATAATTAAAAATTTGTCCCCTCCCTAGGAGAATCGCCTTTCTGGTGAGCTTACTTTCGGATTGAAGCCTAATCCTAACTCTAATCCTGAATGCTTCTAACCCTCCAGTCCTCGCCACCATTCGTTTTCGGTTCTAGGGATAACAGGCAACCCCTAAGCTTCTCACTATTCCGTATTATTGCATTACTGGTTAAATTAGGTTGGGTTAGATTATGTGACTATGGCAAAGAGACATGAGGGCTACCTGCTTAGAGTAGAGGTGCTTTCGTGGAGGAACTTTTTAAAAGAAACTGGCTCGTATTCACGTTACACATAAGGAAATCCACAAAAACAAACCATGTAGCCAGCCCGTTCGCCTGGGTTTGAACCCAGGCAAGGTCGAACTACAGCGATCTTAATCACTCGTCCACTGCTGAGGACATTTGTCTGATTATTTACTATGTGTTTCGCCATTAGGCTCTGCATGGATATGGAGGAATATCCATTGGAAAAAACTTTGTAAGGAAAACTGGCTTGTCTCTATGTTACACACTGGGAAAATCACGGAAATACTCATACAGCCAGCCCATTCACCTATACTTGACCCTCGGACCGAACTACTAGTGCTCAGCGGCTTTTATTGCTCACCCACTAATGGAACTATTGCATGCAAAATATGGGCTATTGCCGAAAGGAAGTATTCTGAAACGATTATACAGAATATGGGCTATTACTGAGAGTATTCGTGCTTCCTGTCTTGTTTTTCATACTTCTAATTTCATAAGTAATTTTAAATTCTTACCTGCCTTAACGCTATTAAAATATCACGGAATTAGTAACGAAAATTAAAACTTTAGACTGTAAGCCTTTTGTTCTGCAAATAAGTGCATGGAATCGTCCATAATGTGATCTGAAGTTTGATTTTCAGTTGCTAGAATCGCGAGACTCGATAAGCGCTCTTGCTCATCGATGAATCGTAGATAATTTTTTAATATGTTTTAATTTGCTGAAACTTCGATCTCTGAACAGGTTGAAGCGTTCGTGATTCGTCCTCAAACAGTTCATCAGAGATTGCTTTTTGTGCTTTGCAATTTTTTATTTGTCAGAATAGACTCAACTGCAATTTTTTTTTTTGGCTACTGTTTTAGACTCTTATATCAAATATTCCATAGGATTTTTCTCTCATTTTTTTATAACTCCTCAGTTTTGGTCAGTTCTTTCGTTAACCACACAGAACGCGGAGGAAAGGAATTCCTTATGAAATTTCTATATTTACTCGATTGAATTCTGGAAAAATATTAGCTCAAATTTTCAGGTTCATAGTAAATTCAAAATTTTTCACAGCATGTACCAGATGGCCTACCTCATACTTTGATTCTGCACCAAGAGAAATATCTTTAATTTCTTTTAAATATTTGAATATTTCCGGTAAATTCATTAGAACTTTCACAGCCCCATATTTTTCCGACCATCTCGTCTGGCTGCTTCTTTTAAGTTTTTTGAACATTTTTTAATAAATTACTGTCGAGTAGTGCATCCAACAAAAAAGCGAAGTATTTTCTGAGTAATTCCAAACAGATTAACTGCTTCCGGGCACGAAGAAGCAGAATGCATACTGACAAAATACGAAGAGTGAGCCAAAACATGGCACAAATTCATCCAGCTTATTCATTTCTGTAATTCTAGCTTGTACTGTGTTAGAAATGCCAGCCATATTAGACACGTTGTCGTAAGACTGACACCAACATTGTCCAATATCTAAACCATCAAGTGTCAATTAAGACAGTAATTTTCTACAATGCGTTCAGAAATACATTCTCCTAT